GAGACCAAACTAAATCGTGGCTTAGCTTCCGACACCACGCGGGGAAGACTCGGGCCCCGTGAACATCAGCCACGCCGCAATTTTTCGCCAGTAACTCCGGGCAATTGCGGATTAAAGGCTTGGTGTGTCTAATAACGTAATGCGATGCGAGGAAAGAATAAGTAGAGAAATCTGTAGGGGTAGATATTGATTGGAAATTTTATAAAATGTAAAATTTAGGTATATTAAATATCTAAATTCTTAATTTTATAATTTTATATAATGTGAAATTTAGATATTTATTGCGTGGTACTATAAAAGTATGATATATGAATAAATATCTAAATTTTTAATTTTGTAATTTTATAGAATGTAAAATTTAGATATTTATTGGGTGGTTCTTTAAAAGGGTGATATATTAAATATGTTAAATATTAAAATTTTTAATTTCGTAATATTTCTAAACAATACGTTGATCTCTTATATTTTGTATAGAGTAGTCCACAATATCTAAATTTTTAATTTTGTAATTTTATATCTTGTAAAATTTAGATATTTATTGAGTGGTCCTATAAAAGGGTGGTATATTAGGTATATTAAATATCTAAATTTTTAATTTTGTAATTTTATATAATGTGAAGTTTAGATATTTATTGGGTGGTCCTATAAAAGTATGATATATGAAGTATCTAAATTTTTAATTTTGCAATTTTATATAATGTAAAATTTAGATATTTATTGGGTGGTTCTTTAAAAGGGTGATATATTAAACATGTTAAATATTAAAATTTTTAATTTCGTAATATTTCTAAACAATACGTTGATCTCTTATATTTTGTATAGAGTAGTCCACAATATCTAAATTTTTAATTTTATAATTTTTGTCGATGTCTTTATCCATCTTGTCACCCTTTTATAGGGTGGTTCACATTTTAATCATCACAATATTTGAATTTGAATTTTAATTGTCGCAATTTTTGCATTTCTTATTTTAATTATCGCAATTTTGCAATTTTTAATTTTAATTATCACAATATTTGAATTTTTTATTTTAATTACTCCAATTTTGAAATTTTTAATTTCGTCTGTTGCAATATTTGAATTTATAATTTTACAAAATTTCCTGATAATATTTTCACCGATTTTATCGCCCTTTTATCGTATAACCCACGTTTAGATTGTCAGGATATTTATTTTTTTTAAATTTGCGAAATTTTTGGACCGTGTTTTAACCGATCTTGATGCATTTCGAGTTGAGTTGTTATGGAGAATATTTAAGGTCGATGTTTTCGTGAGTACTTCGCGTAATGTTACCAATAAGAATCTTTGTTTCTCTGTTTCTCATCGACTAATTTTTTTCTTTGTTCGCCTCTGCGATCCCCGTGGCTGGTTGTCGTAAATTAGAGCTCAAGGGCTGCCACGTCTGGGACCACACCATGGATCGTGATTCGAAGGAAAGGATCTCGTTTGTGCAGCAAGTGAGAAACAATTTCGACGTTATTTTTATCGAAAGCATCTACTTCTTCGTGGTTTCCGAGGCTGTAAGAGACTCTCGAGCGCTAGGCTTGTCATGTGTTCGTAGGTTCAGACAAGAAAGTTATGGGAGCAGTATGTTGAGCTGTGTAGCGTACGTTTGTATGGTAATGCTAACGATTAGGTTGCCGAGAATGGTTAGGATGGTAATACAGAGTGAATCACGAAAGTGTTTTGCGCGATCAATGAGACAAGTACTTTGAATAAACAGAATTTTATTTAAATAGACCTAATTAGGTGTTGACAAATTTTTATGGATGATAGGATAAGAAGATGAACGCGAAGATTAGTACGTTTAATTTTTATTTGGATTTTTGGAGTAGAAATTTTTTTTAATTTTTGAATTTAGGTTTGATCTTTTTAATTTGAGAATTTTTCAACTCTCAAATATTTTTTTAATTTTCCAATCTTGGAATTATTTGAGCTTTGAATTTTCCAGTATTTCAATTCTCCTACTTTGGAATTTTCAATCTTTAAATTTTGTAACTTGAATTTTTCGAATTTAAAATTTTCCATTCCCAGAATTGTTTAACCTTTGTATTTTCCAATATTCCAATTTTTCTATTTTTGAATTTTCAATCTTTAAATTTTGTAACTCTCAAAATTTTTCAAATTATAAATTTTTCAACTTTCGAATTCTTCAATCTTCGAATTTTCAGCTTTCGAATTTTTCTACTTAAAAATTTTACAATTTTACAATTTTTCAACTCTGAAATTTCAAACTCCCAAATTTTCAAGCCTCAAATTTTATAACTCCAATTTTTCATTTCTCAAATTTCCAAATTTTCTCAGTGCCACAATTTTATTTTCTCCTTACATTATACTTGCGCATGCACTACAAAACTGCGTCTAAAATTGCCCATAAACAAGAATAAAATTTTCCTTTTTCATTCGCACCTGCATATACCATTCCGTGTCGTTGCCCGTAATTCTCTACGATCGTAAGCCCATATTCATTCCGTTAACTCGACACGTACAAAACGACAAACATACCTTAATTCACTCCTCCTGCCTTTGATCGTTTCAAACAGCGAAGAGGTGATTTTCAGCTCAATCACGCGGAGCTTGAGTCAATTATTTCCGAATTAACGCGGCTGCTCGATCCAATCAGCGACGCGTCGATTAATCGCGGGCCCTCGCTCGCTTCTCTACCTTTCTCGAAGATACGATCGGAAATTTATTCGCGCGGTGGTCTCCGTGTCGCGCGATAAGAAAACGACGCGCCGCGTCGTAAATGTTTAACGCGACACGAATCGGTTTCACGGTGATTCGCACGGTTAAATTGCTCGACACGGAGAAATCATCTCCTGCCGGTGACCTCATCGTGGAAATTGCTCTCTGACCGTGGCCAAACGCTTTTCTTCCTCGCCATGCTCCTTCCTTTGCCCATTGTTCCCCGGTTGCCTTTGCTATCGTCGGATCTATCTCTTCGGGCATACCTATCGTTTTGCGCTGGTCTAGGTGATCTTCTGGGTTGCTTCTTCGTTTTGCCATTCAATTTGGCAGAATTTTTAACAAAAAGATTTAACACAACGATTTCTTATCATTTTTAAACAGAGTCCGGCTTTGTCTGGGAATATTTATACAATAGTTTCTGATGAGTTCAATGTATAGACAATGTATGTCTGTTCTAGATCTATTCTGGATCATTTTCAAACCTAACGTTGAGCTTTTGTTTCACTGATTGTATTCTAGAATTTTTGTAAGAAAAATTTTAACGGATTTTTCGTTATTATTAAATAGTTTTAGTCGTCAGTTGGCAACGTAATATAATTAGCAAAAAATAATTAGTTAAATATATGTATCACACGAGAATAATAATAGGTATATTAAAAATAAATAGGCATGGTAAAAAAGAAAATGGTAGAAAAGAATCTTAAAAACAATATAACGAGATATATGATCTTCTTGGTTGCTTCTTCGTTTTGCGATTCAATTTCACAGGATTTTTGAAAAAATGATCGACTAATTTGCCATAATTTTTAAGTATAGTTCGGCTTAAATATATTTGCCTAGGAATATTAATTGTTTCTGATGAATTTAATGTGTCGACATCTATGTCTATTCTAGATCTAGTGTAGATCATTTTCAAACCTATTGTTGAACTTTTGTTTTATTTATTGTATTGTAGAATTTTTTTAGAAAAATATTAACGGATTCTTCGTTATTATTAAATAGTTTTAATTGTCAATTGGCAATATAATATAATTGGAAAAAAGAGATTAGCACTACCGATTTGTAATGACTAGTTAAATATATGTATCACATATAAATAATAATATTTATGTTAAAAATAAATAGGTGTGATAAAAAAGAAAATAGAGGTAAAAGAATTTTAAAAGAATATAACGAGAAAAATTGGGAAAGTTGATTATATCTATAAGGTGTCCTAAAATTCACGCGAGATTTGAATTTTGCGCCATTTATGTGGTAAGGTAATACGAACGAAAAGAAACAGTCATTGTGATAGCGAATAGTTCAGGGCTATTAAAGATGGTCACCAAACGAAAGAACATCGTATCTTCATTGTCGAGCAATATTTACAATTTAATTAAAAACCCCTGTTTTCCATAAATATTGCTTCCTGCCTGAATTTTGGGACACCCAATATAACAAAATCAAGTATTTCGAATCGAAAGTTAGAAAACGATCGTTTAAATCATATTAGGCTCACCGCGAGTTCGACAAATGAAAGGCGAAAATTGAAAAGCGTGGATAACTTGGAAAATAAATAATCCCACGAACGAGTGGTTTTATCTGGATAATTCAACCGTTAATTAACTCAGCGATAAACACACCCACGCCTGAGTAGTCGGCGAAGAATGGTTAGCAAGGTTTAAAACTATCGTTCCCTCTGTTTGCAGCTCAGAATGCAACCGGAACCCGCGACGGACCCTCAGTGACCGCAGCCTACCATAAATACCGTGGCTGGCTTGGAGCGTTCCGCCAGGGGCCGAAAAATAATCCCAGCAGCGTATCTCTCCTACTATGCCGGTGTCTTAACGACCCCGAATCCGCCTCACCCGGTCATACGTCGAAGGCAAGGACGCGATCGCGGCGCGCAAGCCAGCGAGGAAGTATCGGCACTGTCGAGGAAGATAACGACATCGTGGTAGATAGCTCGCGGTGCACGGCGAATCGAAGATCGGCTCGTGTCTTAATGGGCATTCCGCGGTTGGATCCCGGTTGGATTTAGCCGGCTGGTTCTCCGCGAGTGAAAAACAGGATTCGAGAGGAGGAAGGCGGAGGAGCCTTGAGATCCCTGGCTGCGAGAGGACTCTATGGGCGCTCGAGGGTGGCGCAGAGTGGCGAATGACCTGGTGCCGCGCGATAATCCTCCTCTCCCACCTTCGTCTCACGTAGCTCGAAGCCACGAAAATGATCGACTGACTGCTCAACTGGCTGGCGTGTAACCGGACGGATCTGGCCAGGATCCCTTCCTTCCCTTCCTTCAGTCCCTCTGTCGATCTTTCGGCGGTTAACGAGCCTGGGATAGTGAATAATAAGCGAAGTAAATGTGCTCGGCTGGCAGGGGAGCCGCAGACATGTCGCAGATCACGAATCGCGCCTCCACCATGGCCGCGGTGATCAGCATCGTGCTGCTGTTGGTGTTCCTGGTGATTCTGTGGACCGGAGTGCGCACCAAGCAGGACGCGATCGAGAGGAAGGTCAACGACAGACTAGACACCGGGGCTGAGACTTTGGATAGATTCCTGGCTGACCGATCCAACCAGTCTTCCACCACTGCCAAGATCATGTTCGACGAGGAGAGCTTCAGCAACGAAGGTAGGAAGCTCTTTTTCTTGTGCATGTCTCATTGCAGAGGACGAATTAACTCGTTGTCACGTCTGCGGCTATTTGGCATTTAATTGCTCATTGGGATTTAATTGTCGCTGGTCTCTTGTTCTTTTACGTCTGCCTGCGTGACGACCAGTTGATCCCAGTTTGCTCTCGGCGTTTTGGATTGGCGTGATTGGTCAAGGGGTCTGTTCAGGATGTACAAGCTGATTGTCACGTATGCCTTAGCGATGATAGGAGGATTAGGGTAATAGGAACATCGCAGAGAGTCTATTTTTCTGGGATTTATTCTCACAATGTAACTTCTCCATTCGAATTTCATTTTCTATGGAGGATTATGGTGCTACTAAAACCTTTCCTTTTCTTTCTATACGGAACGTGTTACATGAGTCACGTTCAGTTTTTACTGCCGTGGGCAGGTGCGATCGATCTCCGAAAGGTCAGTCGTTTCGCAATGGAGATATTGATGAATGGTATGTCGTTTATGGTGTCCGACAATTAATCTGCTAATGGTATTGATACTACCATAGAAAAATTTTTAGGCAATTGGGAATTTTAAATTTACACTCGTCCCATAAAATATACGAAATTTCTCATTTTCAGTTTAGCTTTAATTCAATTTTCTGTGCCATTGACACTCTAAATGCAATAGGTACCAAAATCTACGGTACCATACCTCGATTTCAAATTCTAGAGACAATAGACCAAAGACTCAAGGAACACATGTTCCATATCACGAGTAAAGTAGTCCTGAATCCAAAGTTTAATTTGACCAATATTTCCCACTCATCCCGAGCTTCATCCCGAAGTTTCCAATCCACAGGGTCAACTCGAAACGAGTTAGACCCTAGTGACGCACCGCCTAGATCATCAGCCGAAGCTAGTCACGCCGAAACGAGACTTGGTACATGGACAAAGCGATTTATAACGCCATAAGCCGGGAAAAAATCGAGAAAGTGAGCAATAAAATCAGGATGGAACGATCGGTGACAAATTGGACGCGGCTCGTGCACGCTTGACCAGCGATCGACGGCGGATCCAAGCGAGTCCAATGGACGTTGGAGCACCGTTGCGAGTCGTAATTCGAGTATCGTCACGCAGAAACGGCGGAGTTGTGAAAGATCCGTTAACGCGTTTAGTCTCAGTCAAGGTGTGCAACAGCTCTCAGGGAAAGCTAGAACGTCCAGACGTCCTTGTAAGGCCGCTGCTCCAAAGCACCCACACCTACACCAACACCCACACGCTCGTATTCTCTCGTGCTGCGAGCATGAACCTTTATTCACACAGCCAGGCTGTACATACTCATATTCCTACCCAACCTGCACCTACGTCCTAGGTACGCGTTGCTTCGCTCAACTCTCGCTCGCTTCGCCGTGCACCTGATGGTACTTCGACGAATCGTGCTCAGCATTCCTCGGAGAGCGCTGAAAAATCACCGACGAAATCGGGATCCTCCCGATTAAACGGGGATTCTGAAGTTTCTCTCGCCTTCTCGGTCTCTTCGACGGTCAGGATTCGAGGGGTGAATTGTTTGGTGGTGTGATTGGGGATTGTAATAAACCGTAGACTTTCAACAATGGTGTCAGATATTTTGCAGGCCAATATTCACTTTTAGGTCTCGTAGACCTTCTATTTTTATAATTATTTTATTTTGTAAGGACCCTCTGTTTTCTAGAAACTGTCAATCTCAAATATGGTACAGTAACAAGGACATGCACATATCTGTATAAGTATATTTGTATCTTTCATTGATAATAAACTTTATAAATTTCGTTGCTATACAACTGTATATGGATCTGCACATTTTAATAAACGCTGTAATTTCATTTGAGAAATTACAACAGGGATTAATTGGAAGCTTTCCTTATGAAGATGAAGAATTGGGGAGGTTTCTTGACGATATGGGATTAGTATGTCTTGGTTAGGTTCTTCTAACAGTCCGAGCATTTCACGAATGCTTTTCACGTTTCAAACATTTTTACAATTTTCTAAATTTTAGAATAGATAGGGGTCAGCTGTGCTAGACGTTGCAGGCTAGTAGAGATTTTTGGGTCTCAAGGATTTTCGCTATTATGTTGGCGTCAAGGACTCGTCTACTGGATTTAGGTTTAAAAGGCATTCTTTTTTTCTGGGATATTTCAGGTACAAACCCTAACGGTATAGAGCACATTTATTCCAAACCCTGACGGTATAGAGCATCGTTAGAACATTTAGGGATACCTTCACTGTTTGTATTCTTATACCTGTACATTCCACTAATAATAAAGTATAATAGTAAAGTTACGATAAACTCTGCAATTTCAATCAAGAAATTGCAACGCTAAATATTTCTTTAATTCTCATAGGCAGTATGTTGAATAATTCTATATAGAAACTAGACCTAGGTTTGAGGACATTTCTGAAAACGCAAAGAACCTTCCATTAATCTTAATTATCAAAATATGATTTTTGGATTCCACATTTTGCATTCCTGGGCAAGCTTTTAGACCCATGATAATCCATTAATTTACTGTAAATTACAATGAACTCTGTAATTTCAATCAAGAAATTGCAACGTATTGTAGAATTCTAATCTCACGCTCCATGTTGCTAGACGTTTCTAGCGACATCTGGAGTTTTTCTTGGCAATTCAAATAAGCCTAACAGTGGAAGACACTTTTTTCCAAGCTATCACAAAGAAAGCAGGTATAGTTATTCTGATTGTGAGACATTGTCCCTTGTAAAACATAATCCATCCATTATATTTCACAACACAACGCTAAATAATTTAACCCTTATAGGCAGTATGTCGAATAACTCTGTTAGACACTAGCTCTAGGCTTGAGGACATTTCTGAAAACGCGAAGAGTCTTCCATCAATATTAATCGTCGAAATATTAATTTTAGATTCCATGATAATCCATTAATTTACTGCAAATTACAATGAACTCTGTAATTTCAATCAAGAAATTGCAACGCTAAATAATTCTGTAACCCTTATAGGCAGTATGTCGAATAATTCTGTTAGACACTAGCTCTAGGCTTGAGGACATTTCTGAAAACGCGAAGAGTCTTCCATCAATATTAATCGTCGAAATATTAATTTTAGTTTCCATGATAATCCATTAATTTACTGCAAATTGCAATGAACTCTGTAATTTTAATCAAGAAATTGCAACGCTAAATAATTCTGTAACCTTTATACGCAGTATGTCGAATAATTCTGTATAGACACTAGCTCTAGGCTTGAGGACATTTCTGAAAACACGAAGAGTCTTCCATTAATGTCAATTGTCGAAACATAAATTTTAGATTCCACTGAAATATTCTTAGACCCACGATAATCCATTAACTCCCCGAAAGAGATCTCACAGACGTGAGACATGTCCGGTCAGCCTGAAAAGCGTCTAAAGAAATTCCACTAGCATCTCCAAGTTCCATTCGTAATCTCGAAACTCCTCTGTCCACGAGCTTATTAATCCACCCCACGAACCAGCCTCACATCCTCATCCGCAAGAAATGCAGCAGAAGCAAACGAGCCGCGTTACAATCCGAAAACGTTGGAGCAGCGAACACCCAGCCTATTCCCATCACACGCATACTCATCCGGAATCCTATCTCTCTCCACAATTATCCTCTGATTCCTCCATTAACCCTGCTCCACGTAAAAATAACCACTCGCCAAAAACCATCACGCTGTACGCCGTATCTAGCCTCACGATTGCCAGGCTAAAGCAACGGAGGATCCCTCGGGTCCCGGTAATGAATGTACACGATCCGGCGACGACTCTATCCCCGTGTATAGACGCATAATTATTCCCGCGGGTTCGCAGATAGCGACGGGCACCATAACGTTCGCCTACACCTCCATTCCCGATCGTTCCACCAGATCCCGCGTATAACACTAATTTCGTGCAGTTTATTAGTTTCTCTGATGTCCGTTATCTCGCCGCATCTCCGCTGACTCTCGATCCTACCTCGGTCCTCTGCCGATCATTAACGAGCGCTAATTGCGCCGACCGTGGATTATTTCGCGGGCTTCACTTCCTCTCCGTCGATTTGTCTGTGTCGTATCCTCGGCTCCGCGCGCTTTTCATCCTTTCCTCCTCTGTGCACCTCAGCCCTCCTCGGTCCTCATTTTCATCCTTGGAAACGTCGCGTCGCTGATTTTCGATCGCGAGCGATAAGCGGAATCGTAATTTACGCCCGGCGATCGGTATCTGGCTTAATTGAAACGGAAATTAATGCCCGAGCGCGAAACGATCCCCGGGAGGAAATTGCCGGACGATGCTTTCGCGTCTTGCTGCCGGGGCCAGCGCGTGAAATTGTCTCCCCGGGATGAATAACGAAAGGACGAGCGTTAATTTGATAAACGTCACGGGGTGTCTTGAGGGGTTATAATGCAAAGAAATAGTAGCCAGTGGAAACGGTGGAAAAATTGTATAGATGTTTTTAACCCTTTCGTTACTACTGACTATAGTCACCGGCCACGAGACGTCATCTACACACGACGGGTGACTGTAGTCACTGGTTACAAAAATTAAGTACAAAATTAACCACTTGCGATGGCAAAGAATTCACAGACGCGTGTGCCAGGACGGTTCAGTGTTTCTGTAACAATAGCCGAACGACGTGTATACCACGTCGTTGGCGATTCGGTGACAAAAGCATTACGACGTGCGTGACACGTCTTTCCAACGCAAGTAGTTAAGACGAGTGCTACTGTTCGTCTTAGAACTCTTTGCAGATAATTGCAAGCTCTATTGCTAGTATTGTGTAGCAATTGTGTTGCAAACTCTATTGCTAGTATTGTGTAGCAATTGTGTTGCAAGCTCTATTGCTAGTATTGTGTAGTAACTGTGTTGCAAACTCTATTGCTAGTATTGTGTAGTAACTGTGTTGCAAGCGCCATTGTTAGTATTGTGTAGCAATTGTGTTGCAAGCTCTATTGCTAGTATTGTGTAGCAATTGCTAGCTATTGCCTATGGTCAGTTTTTCCTTTTCTTTTT